AATTTACTTAGAAATTCATGGAATTAGGCTAAAAATGGAAGAACTAGGGGTTGAGATTTTGAAACTTTTAAATTGGGATTTGAAGGACCATTTGAAGTCGGATTTGAGAACTTTTATTATGTATGAACTCGTGGAAGGATAAGGAACCCGTTGATGTAAAAATTTCTGAGTTTCGAGAAGTGGGCCCGGGGCTTGGGTTTTGGTAATTTCGGGATTTGTGCCCGTTATTGATTGGTGTCGCTTGGGTTTTGTTCCCTTAGCATATTGTGATTGTATTTGTTCTGATTTTGGATAGATTCGACGTGCGTGGAGGCTGATTTGAGGGGCAAAGGCGTCGCGAGCTAGAGATTTCGCCAGTTCGAGGTGAGTAATTTTGTATATGATATCCTGAGGATTTGAAACCCCGGATTGCACATCGTAGTGCTATATTGAGGTGAGACACACGCTGGATGACGGGCGTGGGGTCGTGCACTATTGGGGATTGTGACTTGGTCCGTCCCGATTGATGATTTTACCGCGTATTTGACTGAAACTTATTTGCGATCATTATGTTTTGGGCTGATTGCCATATTTGGGCTTTGTGCCAACTATTGGATTCCTTTGGGGACTATTGTTGATATTTCCTCCCTATTTTGATTTTATACTTGAACTCAGTCATGTATTTTTCACTGTTTTCAAAACTCGGCCAAGTTTATTTCGCTTTAACAATTGAAATGATATTTCCAATAATATTTTTGGGCTGAGTATCATGTTTTACTGCTGTCCGAGGGGCTTATGTAATTTTTGCCTGAGTAAGGCTGAGTGCATGTATTGTGAGGATACTTTTGGATCGGGCTGCACGCCGCAACAGTGAGATACTGATTTGATTATGAGGCGGATGGCCTGAGATATGTATGTCACGAGGTGGCTTATGATGTATATGAGGCCGCGGGCCTAGATTTGATGCCACGAGATGGCTTGATATTGCGCTTGGGCCGTAAGGGGCCCCTCCCGGAGTCTGCACACCCCCAGTGAGCGCCGTCGACGAGATATATGAATCGGGCTGCACGCCGCAGCGGTGCTGGTACTGTTCTATGTGTTTACTTTATTTTATTTGTCTGCCATTATCTGTTGTTTGGGCTACTTCATGTGATATCTATCTGATTGCCTGGCATTATCTGTTAATTGAGTGTTGTGCCCGAGGGGCGGATTTCCGTGCTTATCTGCACTGTTTGTTTTGCACTCATTTGCGTAACCGTTGAAAAAGTCATTTTTAAAAGAGGTTTAAACTGAACTAAGATGTTTTCCAAGGATTTCACAGTTTCACTGCTTTTACTCAACGGGTTTTAGACTGCTTTATACAACATGATGGTTTGTTTTACGTGATTTCTTACTGCTCAGTTATTATTTATCTTTATTACTCACTGAGTTGGAGTACTCACTTTACTTCCTGCACCTTGTGTGCAGATACATGTATTTGTTCACCCGGTAGCGGGTTTTGAGCTGGTCGGAGGCTAAGTTATCGGAGTTTAGTGAGGTGACTGCCAGCGTTCGCAGCACCACATTTCTTCTTTTGTTTATCAGTCCTATTTTATATGTTTCAGGCCTTGCAGTTGTATTTATACTCTAATAGATGCTCGTGACTTGTGATACCCCGGTTTGGGCTGTGTTTGGGTTGTATTCCGTACCTAATAAAGAAAATTTTTATTTAGACTGTGGTTATTTAATTATGCTAAAACTGTTTATTAATATTAACTATTCTAAAAAGTTGAAATGGGTTGGTTGGCTGGCCTTGTCTTCACGAGAGGCGCCATCACGACCGGATCGGGGTCTGGGTCGTGACAGCTTTGGAGGATACAAGACACAGAATTCATCATCTTTCCATCAATTTAATACGAGAGTTTGGATTGTAATATTGGATTGATGCTTTCTTACTCTTTAATTATAATTATGATGTTCCTCCATGATTATGGAGTAGTCAACCTTAGAGTTTGACGGATATGGTATTTTGATAAATATTCGTGGATTTTAACTCTAGTTATTTGCTTGAATTCATTTATGGAGCTTTGAATTGTTGTAACTTTATTCACCAGTTTATTTAATCGAAAGAGGGATATTTTGGTGATTATCTTTGCATTATTTTAATTAATTGATTGATTCTCTTAAGTAATCAAAAGAGCTTGTTGAATTGTTGACTAAATCAAGTTAGGAGAATATTCGAGAGACGTTTTCCTAAAGACTAATCCAATAACACATGCTTGCATATTTCACAGTGCTTATATTAGTTCACCTCGTAGAGTTAAGATTTAATCGAGAGACAAGTCTTGACTACACGTTTAAACTAATCATCGAGTGAATTCGTCAAGATCATTAGAACATTAGAGTAAATTAAACTAGAGTTAAATCCCAAATAGCTATCTTGCACCTATCCTATCATGACCCTTATTCCTCACATTGATAAGAAACCAACTCTCCTAATCTCTAATTCTTTGCAGCCAATTGTCAATTGCTTTACTTCAGTAGTTAATCATAGTTTGTAATCAATCCAAACCAAGTTTTGATCATCTTAAATAGCAACTAAACCAGAAATTACTAGAGCATTGTTTAAATCCAATCCACGTGAAGACGATAATTTAACTATACTATCTTTGGCTAGCGAGCAATAGCTTTGTGTTGTGTTTTGCGCGTGTCAACCAACAATTGTGAATTCTTTTCCATTTAAGCAAGGACCTTCGCCATTGAGTTTCCGTGCATGGAGATTTATCATCATTAGAGATCTTTGAGAGGCGACGACGTCAGTCAAACTAGTAGAGAAGAAATGATGATTGGACATAGGGTGGGTTATGGTGAGAGAGAGAGAGTGAGAATGCGTAATTAAATCCCTCTCCCCTTGCCCAGAGTTAGTAGTGTTAGTAGTGATATTGGGCTTAGCCCCATTAGTGGACCCCAGAAATTAACTTATGTTAGAGCCTTGGGGTATCAGATTTGGAATTTCAATTTGGGTATTTTTCTTACCCGATATGGATGCGTGTTTTCTCCCTTAGGCCGTGTAAGAGGTAGGAGGTGCATGTGTGGTAGGACTTGCGTATGTCCCATATTTGGTACAGGCTGTAACTTGTGCATTTGGTTTGTGTTGTGTGCTAAAGCCCAGACAGTTGTGACATGGGCCCATATGGCCTAAGCTGCATGTCTCTTTGGGGTCTAATCAGACGAGGCCCGTGTGGTGTTTGTTGGCCCTGTCTTATTTGGCCCATATTTCCCGCAGCCCTAGTGCCGCCATGTTCCAAGCCCCATTTCCGCCCTCAACCTTATCAATGTTACTCCTTTCGTTCCAATTTATGTGAACCTGTTTGATTAGGTACGAAGTTTAAGAAAAAATGAAGACTTTTGAAATTTGTGATTTTAAACAAGTCAAAAATGGCCCTAGAGTGTTTGTGTGGTTATAAAAGTTTCTCATTAAGGGTAGAATTGAAAGTTTAAGCTAAATTATTTCCAAAACTAGAAAGGGATCATTCTTTTTGGAACTGACCAAAAAGAAAATAGGTTCACATAATCTAGAATGGAGGGAGTACTAAGGATGGATAACTTACCTGAATCCAGTGGCCACTTTCCGCTCCCCGGTCTGTTCTCTGTTGCCTATGATCATCCCTGGTTTTTGAATCCCTCCATTCTCTCTTGTCGTTTTGTTTTCCGTGGAAACTCCACCACTTTTCAGTCGTCATCCTCATTGGCACTATGTCCTGCCGTCGACGTCTCTGTTGTGTCATTTGCCCTTATCTATCGTTGATTTGGGCATTTCTTGAGTAGATAGCCCAGTCGCCCACACCCTTTGCACGGGATTCCCTCCCCCTCATACGTAATTGGTTGCTTATATTCACCAATTAGTACTGTCATTTTGAGGGGTACCTCAATTGGTACTTGGATGCAGATCTGTGCATAACTGCCCCTTAAGGTGGCAGAGGTGCACGTATCGATTTTCAGCAGCCTACCAACCCTTCTCCCCATCCTTTTTAGAATCTCTCTATCGTAGAACTCCGTGGGTAATTAGGCAGCTAGATCCAGATGGTTGTGGCGTGTATTTTTTATTCCGCCAATACAAAGTTTGGTTCCCAATTTCTGACGGAATGGAAGTGTCCCATGATGAACCATGGGCCTCCATGTAGTGCAAGCATCATGTTCTCTTCTTTTTCAAATTTCAATACAAAGAAATCCCAACCTAGATCAATTAGTGTTAGATGCTCGCTGGGATTACATAAGTGTTGCAATTTTAACTTCAATAGGTGGTGGGGTACCTTTTTCCCAAAGATCTTGACGATTAATGAGAAATGTCATGGGGTGGTTGAGTCTATTTTTTTGTTCTTGGCTGAGGATGATGGGCCAGTGGTGTCATCAGTGGTTGATTTGAACGATGTCTCCTGTTGGTGGTACTGGGTGTTGTATATGATTAACTTTGTTAAGTTCTTTTCCGCTAGTATTTCCTTGAAGGTGTTAACTTTTTCTTTTTGAGTTTATTCCACTTCAATCGGTGTTGAATTTGTGTCCGGTGGGTCGGGGGATTTTAGTGCCCGTGGTGATCGTTGGTCCAGTGCTAGGATTGATGATGGGGCCATTTGGGGGAGGGGATAATTGTAGAGAGAGAAGCTCCCCGATCTCAATGCGGTTCATGTCTTTATTATTGTCACAACAGGACTTATTCTTTGAATTTACCCTTAAAAGAAGCATCAATTGAAAAAAAAATGTTCTCATTTGTTTTTTTATCAGTTTTTTATTTTTCAAATTTGTGTGAAAAAAATTGTATTCCTAGCCGGCTCATTTTTGTTTTTTTTGGTTGGAGAAAACATACAACAAACTAAGACATATATCACAATTCAAGTTGAGGTTGCAAATTCAATCAATTAAATTTCTTTATCCTTATTTAGCAAAGAAAGCTCGTTATTACATTTTACTAAAGATATTTTTGTTGTGTGTGATAAAAATCTAAAACACTGGAGTGTTTATATTTAAATTTACAAATTTGGTCCCATTTCCCAAACAATACCCAAAATTGTTCAATCTTCTCTATCCAAAAGCAAAAAAATGGGTGGTCGTTAAAACAACTATTGTTTCACTGCGATACCCGCCCGCATTTTCCCGCCATCACTTGTTCACGTCTCCAAATGGCCTTCACATTGCTCTCAATCTCGAGCTGTTACTGTCTTCGCCTTTCACAATTTGTTGTTAATGGCCATAGACCAATTACACGTCAACATACTTTCAGTATTAGTCAAATTGTCATACACCCTAACATTAATCAATGTCGTCCATTTTCTAGAGGAGCAAGATTCATCTTGCTTTCAAATGCCCAAAGCAGTGGAGAATACGGCGGCTCTGAGCAGTTAATTGAAGATCTTAGGGTTCCCCAACAATGGCTTGAACCCTCCAAAGCCCTCCAGGTAATTCACACATGTCTTTTCCCAATTACTCTGTTAAGTTTTGTGATATCAGAAAAATAATTAGCTTAATTGGTACTCCTAGAAGGGATTTGATGGTCGCAGACCTGAGGTTTGCCTGTACTTTGTCCTTGCAGTTACAAACTAAGAGAACCTTCTTTGTGAATTACCTATTAAGAAATCAGTTAAATATCCTGGGAGTGTTGAAAGATCTTAACTTTGAGTTGTGGTGGGGTTGATCAAGCACTTCATGCATAAAGAGTGATTACTTACTTCAGTACTACCAATCTGATTTGAAGAATATTTGTCTCAATTGAAGTTCTCTTGGAATTTAAATTCCTTTGAATTGGTAATAAATTTAGAAATAACTAAAGAATATAAATGAGTAAAACTTTCTACTTAATTCTTTGTGATTGTTTTGGGGTCCTGGACATTGCTGGGATCAGTGGTAGTTACCTTATGTGACCATTGTGTTAAGAGGGTCTGGCTAGAAACGATCATATATTGGCGCATAGTTTTCTTGGTACTCCTCTACTTCGTCATCAAACTACGAATGGCATGGTATATTAGAGACCAAATAGTTAAGAGGCCAAGTGTTATACAAATAATGGTAGTCTTTTATCAAGTAAGACATTATGAAATTTGAGAACTATGACCTGACTCATCTTCCGTAAGTCATTAAGTTGTGTGTGTGTATCATCCTCTGCTGTGTCTATGCCACGTGTTTACTGAAAATTCAATCTTTTGCCTTCTTGATTGTGTTTAGCAAGTTCCTTCGGAACAATTTTTATATTCTAATTACAGTCACTACAAGTGTTCCGCAAAAGTTAAATCAATTTAGAGAGATCTCTTCAAGATATGTATTGAGAGGCTCTAAAGTGCATGGAATGGTAGTTGAGGCATTGCCATTCAGCATAATGAAACTGCTAGTATCGTATTTGTTTTACATCTGATGAAGGATAATCATTGCTGAAAAGCACGACACGATTTGCAACTCAACTATAAAAGTCTTGCACTCTGTCATGAAACAATTAGTGATCGCTTTTGATGCTCTCAGTTGCCTTTATCCATTACCCCAGGGTGAATTGTCATATTAGGATCATTTCTACATATAAGCTTTGCCAATTAGTTTGAACGTATTTCAATAGTAATAGCAATTTAATATGTGGCATCATTATCGGGTTTAAACTCCTATGTGCTTTGTAGGATAAGGTATTTGCGGGAACCTGTCTCTTCTACTTACTCCATGTTGACTATTTTCAAGTGGATATTTGCGGTACACTCTTTGAGTAGATGAGCCAAGATGAGATTTGAACAAGATATGCTTAAAATTCCTCTCAAGATTGTTTTTTGTGTGCATGTTATCTGTAGTTTTTGTCTTTAATATATATCTTTGCTGATTTTCCCCGAGACCATTTGCAAGAGGGGTAGGAATTTCCTTCCCTTCACATGCTATAAGGTGTCCTTAAATTGAGTTCCATTTTTATTCCCTTTCTAATAATGATCTAGCAAGTTTTATTTAATCGGAAAACATGTATGTTGAATGCTTTAAGATGCCATTTTAGTTAGTTTTACGCGTTGAACTTAAGTTGTGGATGTTGTCCAATACTGCATAGCTTGAGGTAGTCCATCTGAGAATGACTTGCTATCATCACGTTGTTGCATACTTCTTGCAAAATCTTGATGTTGGCTGGTTGCAATGTGATCCTTTCTAATCCCATTGAAGAAAAAGGGAAAGAATTGGTGCACTTTTCTATTGATAAAATTTTTACATTGTGCTCAGGAGCCTTTCTTCTGCGTCTGCATCTGTACGTGTTTTGAAATTCATAATTCTAAATATGAGGTCAACTTCTCTACGTCTGCTTACTTTTTTTAGCAGCCTCTACCTTATCAATTAGAAATAATGCAGAGGCTTCTGATCTGCATAAACTGCATTGAGTAAGGCTGAAGGTGTATGGTTAGCATATTGTCCCACTCTACCCCCTCTCTTTTCTCTATTGGAATACATGGCTCAAGAACTTGTGGCATTTACACAGGAATCTGAATGGTTGAGAACTGCTCTTAAGAAGTGGTTGGATGATGAATATTGTCCAGAGGAAACAAATGTTGAGATTAGCAAAGTTGCTGCGAATTCATTCTACAGATCATTGTTGGAGAATAAAACTGACATAGGTGAGATACTATTAAAGATGGCTGGTGATTTGGAATCCATATCCTATCAAGAAAGCTTTCATGGAGCATTCTCATCAGCAAATGCAGCAGTGAGTCTCATAATCCAACGGCTTGAACAAAACTAATCATTTGGCCTCGATAAAAAGTTTGGAACTCTCAGCTTCCTACCAAACACCCCTTATTTGTTTTTTTGACTTGCACTTTAGAATTATCCCTTAATAGTAGTACATTAAGATTTCACCAATAAGGTTAGAAAGGCCATTTATTGAAAAGAAAAAAAAAGAAGGTTAGAAAGGCCTATGGTTTAATAACTTTAGTTTGTCAACATTTCTAGTGCTATCTAGAGTAGCTGGAGAAATACATATATGCCAGACACTTTCAATTTGTAGTTGAGTTTTAGAATGTAAGTATGAAACCATGCTCTATGTCAAGATGTGTCATCTCAAAAACAAGCTTTTAGTTTTTAGTTTTATTACTTGTTATCGGTACCTCTTTCATATTCTGCTATCTTCGATTTAGTTTTCTAATTATTTGTCTTGTTATTACTTGCTATCAGAGCTTCTTTCACCTTCTTTAGTCGAGAGTCTATCGGAAACAGTCTCTCTGCCCTTCCAGGTTAGGGGTAAGGTTGCATACATCCTGTTGCGGAAACCAAATGTATATAGTGTGAATAAGTCACAACTACTATACCAAAAATTATG